TCGGGGAGATAACCACTGAGCCACAGTCCAGGTAGGTGGGAACATTTGTTAGAAAAAGGAAGCTGAGAGGGGACAGGGCTTTCTCTGTTATGGGCCCCAAATTATGGCATGACTTACCTTTGCAGGTCAGAGAGGCCCCTTCTCTGTCCACTTTTAAAGCTCGTCTTAAAACTCATCTATTTTACTTGGCTTTCAACACCAGCGAGATCTAGTTTAAAGTGAGATTTAGTTTAAAGTGTATGTCTTTGTTTTTGAACTACTTTTATTTTAAAGTTATTTTTATTTCGTTGTGTTTTTTGGATTGTACAGCACTTTGTATCAACTGTGGTTGTTTTAAAGTGCTTTATAAATAAAGCTGGTATGGTATGGTATGGTATTTATCCAGAAGATCCACAAAACTCAGAGGATTCAAAATGGAAGTTAGTTCAGAATTAAAAAAAACAAACACAGATGATCCAATATCAGTAAGAAAAGTTCTAAAAACATAAAAAGCCCCAAAACTTAGAGCATTAAAGTCCCAAAGACTCAGAACGAGGAGAGAATTCAGAGAATTCATGGAGGGAATATGATGAGAGGATCAGACACATGATATTCAATAACAAACTCACAATCAAAACAAAAAACAGACAGACAGCTGTCCAACAGCGGCCCCTAGTGGCCAGAGCAGCACCTACAACAACAATCAGCTCTAACCAATAACCAAAAATAATATAATATAATATAATATAATATAATATAATATAATATAATATAATATAATATGATAAATTTCTTTTAAATTTCTTTGACTATTTAATGATAGTTTTTTCAGTAATAAAGCTGTTTTTTTAAATACATTTTGTTTAACTGTTTACTTATAAATGAAGCTATTTGCTGTAGTTAATATTGACTTTTTTTACAGGGTTGTTTGTAATTAAAATGGATTTTTCTGTATGTAGATAGTTTGTTTTATGAGTAGCGTTTGTTCTGTTTTTCTTTTTCTGTTTGTGTTTTTTTTTTAATGTAAATTTTTTCCAGCTCATTGTCTTTTTTTCTATCTTTAAAAACTTTTTATTCAGTCAAAGTCACTTCTGCCCAAAACTGAAGTCAGTTGGACTTTTTTATCTTTAAGGAAATGTGCAGCTCACCTTCTTTCTTCCGACGTTTTACAGACGTTCGGGACTCTTCTGCTTCTCTGGGCTAAAACCGGAGCCTCACCTTGTCACGTCTGGGGGAATGTCTGGTGTGTTGTCATGTCTTGATTACCTATTGTGTACACCTGGGGTTCCCCTCCCTCATGTGTTTAAATAGTCCTCGTTGTGTTTGTTTCGTCTTTCGTCTCCCCATGTCATGTAAGGTTTTGATTTTTTGCACTTCGCCATAGCCTTGATTTTGTCACAGCCATGCCATAGCCTTGTTTACTGTTTTTGTCATAGCCATGTTTTTTCACAGTCATGTTAATCTTGCTTTGATATTTTGCCATAGTCTTGTTTTGATACTTTGCCACAGTTTTGTTAACCTTTATTTGCACCTTGCCATAGTCTTATTTTTGCCACAGCCATGCCACAGTCTTGTTTACTGTTTTTGTCATAGCCATGTTTTTCACAGTCATGTTTACTCTTACTTTGATACTTTGCCACAGTTTTGTTAACCTTTATTTGCACCTTGCCATAGTCTTATTTTTGCCACAGCCATGCCACAGCCTTGTTTACTGTTTTTGTCATAGCCATGTTTTTTTCACAGTCATGTTAATCTTGCTTTGATATTTTGCCATAGTCTTGTTTTCATACTTGCCAGTTTTGTTAACCTTTATTTGCACCTTGCCATAGTCTTATTTTTGCCACAGCCATGCCATAGCCTTGTTTACTGTTTTGTCATAGCCATGTTTTTTCACAGTCATGTTAATCTTGCTTTGATATTTTGCCATAGTCTTGTTTTGATACTTGCCACAGTTTTGTTAACCTTTATTTGCACCTTGCCATAGTCTTGTTTTTGCCACAGCCATGCCATAGCCTTGTTTACTGTTTTTGTCATAGCCATGTTTTTTGACAGTCATGTTAATCTTGCTTAGAAATTTTGCCATAGTCTTGTTTTGATACTTTGCTACAGTTTTGTTAACCTTTATTTGCACCTTGCCATAGTCTTGTTTTTGCCACAGCCATGCCACAATCTTGTTTACTGTTTTTGTCATAGCCATGTTTTTCACAGTCATGTTTACTCTTACTTTGATACTTTGCCACAGTTTTGTTAATCTTTATTTGCACCTTGCCATAGTCTTATTTTTGCCACAGCCATGCCACAGTCTTGTTAACTTTATTGCTTTGATACTTTGTTCATAGTTTTTTCACAGCCTTGTTTTGAACTTTGTCAGCATCCACTCCGTTTGAGTGTGTTTTTGTTCAAATAAACCCTTCGAACTTCAAATCTCCGCGACTGAGTCCTCCCCTAAGATCCACCCCCGTGGCTCACCTTTGATTGACAGCTGGCTCTGGGGGGACCGTCCCCCGGTGGGATGCCCACAGCTGTAGAGCCCCTGGTCCCTGGACCTGGAGACCCCCTTCAGGGTCATCCTCCCGGACGCCTCCGTCCCCAGAAAGGTGCCGTTCCTGAAGAAGCTGGCGGGGAACCCCGACTCCGGCGTGTCCACGTCCTCGTTCGGTTTGTAGGAACACCGGAGCACCACGTCCTCCCCCTCCATCACCGGGTGGGGGGGGCTGCTCAGGATCACGCCCTGAGCTTAAAGGAGACATATTAAACCCTATTTACACAAGTTAAACTAGTCCCAGAGTCCCATACTGCCAGAGTTTTTTGAGCATTTTGACGGATTTTTCAAGAGCCACAGAATAGTTTGTGCTATGACTATGTAAACCCCGAACACACCAAAAGAAAGAGTAGACTCTCTTCTTTCATCAGCAAAAAAATGTGTTTCTACCTTATTCCGTTCTTCCTGGACTTGCGTCTCACCGGCGACATGTTCTCTCATAGCGAACCGTTACCTTTTTCTTATTTGCCTACAGTCTATGCTCATCTCCCATCAAAAGTGGCATTGCCCCCTAGAGGGTCAATTTGTTACTACATACTCTGTCTAGAAGCCTGATATTTACGGACAAGCTTTAGCAGATCGTCTCCCAACTCACTCTCGTTGAAAAACGTAAAAGACATCTATGGACGTCTTTGGCAGTCAACGGTTGTATTTTAATTGTATTTGAATTGAAGTCTATAGACGTCTTTGGCGGCCAACGGTTGTATTTGAATTGACGTCTATAGACGCTCTCCGTACCGATCACGGTGACGTTGACCCGGGGGCGGATACTACATACTCTGTCTAGAAGCCGATATTTACGGACAAGCTTTAGCAGATCGTCCCCCAGCCACTCTTGTTGAAAAACATAAAAGACCTCTATAGACGTCTTTGGCAGTCAATGAGTTAAGAAAGCAGGGAAACTGGTGAGTGGTTGGTCACTAGCTGGTTGGGGGTGGGGGGTGAGGGGAGATATTGTGGCTCTCCGTACCGATCACGGTGACGTTGACCGGGGGGCTCCGCCCCCCCCAGGGGGACTCGCACCAGTACTGTCCGGAGTCGGTGGGCAGGGCGTCCTCGATGAGGCAGGAGGAGGGCCCGCGGGGCGTGGCCCAGCCCGGGCGGCAGCCCTGGGCGGTATAACGGGCCGTGGTCCTCCTCACCGCCCAGCCCCCGTCACAGTCCAGGGACACGCTGCTGTACTTGAAGAACTGGGATCCACCGGGGGGCTCTGAGGGGAGACAACCGGGGAGAACCGGTCAGAACCGGGTCAGAACTGGTCAGAACGGGTCAGAACCGGGTCAGAACCGGGTCCAGAAGCCTGGGTGGGACTTCTGATGCTCTTTCTGACATTTTCAGCCTCTGAACGCTGAGATCGGAGTCATTAAAGGAGGGAAATAGGTCCCTAACGCAAGGGGTGAGTCAGCGTTGTGTCCAATCAGCTGGGCAGCAGCTCAAAGTGGACATGATTGGAGATTAGAAGCATAAATATTAGTTTAAAAAGTTTCCAGAGACCTTTAATTTAAATTTTAGTCCAAATTTATTCTTTTTTGAGCCACTTGAGTCAGAAAAAGGCCCCTAACTCAAGGGGTGAGCCACTCTGTGTCCAATCAGCTGGGCAGCAGTTTAAAGTGGACATGATTGGAGATTAGAAGTACTTTAAAAAAAAAAAAAAGTTTCCATACAACTTTAATTTCTACTTTCTCTCTCATTTTTAGTCAAATTTTCTGACTCAAGTGGCTCAACAAACAATAAAACTGGACTAAAAATGAGAGAATAATGAGAAATCAAAGGTGTCTGGAGACTTTTTAATGTCTTTCTATTCTCCCTCAAAGCAGCCAGACGTCCTTTAAAGTGTTCTTTAGTGACTCTGATCGAGGATTTCTGATGTTTATCTGAGTCTTTGTTTGGGCAATTTCTACTTTTTCTCTCATTTTCAGTCCAAATTTATTCTTTGTTCAGCCGAGGGAGGGAAAAGGCCAAAGAAAACTCATCAGACAGACAGGAAACAGTTAGAAGGATTCACAGATCTGCTGGAGGAAAACAGAGTACTGAAAACATCTGAGGAAGCTTTAGGACGGAAGCAGAAGATTTGGGCCTGAAAAACTCTGTAATCCGGCAGAGGAAGAGGATCTGAAAGAGACGAGCTTCAGAAAGCGGAACAAATCCAGAAACCTAAATCAAACACTTCCAGTTTATTTCAGCTGAAAACGTAACAGCTGAAACACAAGTTTTCTCTACTTTTAATCAAACTAAATCACTGTAGAATGCCATATTTGCTCCACCATCTTTTTTTTTTTCGCGCCTCCTAGTGTTCCTGCACGTTCTGCCCCAAAATGGAAACAGCCAATCAGAGCTCTGCTGTTGCCCCGGTAACTAACGAGCAGCACAGCCTCCTTTTTTAAATATAAATTTGTTTTTGTTCCAGCTTGTCGTCGTCCTTTTTTTTCTATCTTTAAAAGCTTTTTGTTAAGTCAAAGTCACTTCTGCTCAAAACTTCAGAACAGTTACTCCATCGACTTGCTTTTGATCTCATGTTATCGATGATTTGGAATTTTTTATTATTATTTTGGCAATAAAAAAACTGCTTTAAAAAAAAAATTGTCGCTGTTTACTTCTAAATGAAGCTATTTGCTGTACTTAATCTTGACTATTTTTACAGGATTGTTTGTAATTAAAATTGATTTTTAATTTTTCAGTATGTATGATTTTTCTGTATGTAGATTGTTTTATGTGTATTGTTAGTTCTGTTTTTCTTTTTATGTTTGCATTTTTTTTATATGAATTTGTTCCAGCTTGTTGTCGTCCTTTTTTTTCTATTTTCAAAAGCTTTGTATTAATTCAAAGTCACTTCTGCGCAAAACTTCAGAAAATTTACTCCATCGACTTGCTTTTGATCTCATGTTATCGATGATTTCAAATTTTTTATTATTATTTGGGCAATAAAAAAACTGCTGTAAAATTTTTTTTTTCGCTGTTTACTTCTAAATGAAGCTATTTTTTCTGCCCACACTTCTGCCCAAAACTGAAGTCAGTTGGACTTTTCTATCTTTAAGGAAATGTGCAGCTCAGCTTGTTTCTTTAGACGTTTTACAGACGTTCTGGACTCTTCTGTTTCTCACCTTTGATTGACAGCTGGCTCTGGGGGGACCGTCCCCCGGTGGGATGCCCACAGCTGTAGAGCCCCTGGTCCCTGGACCTGGAGACCCCCTTCAGGGTCATCCTCCCGGACGCCTCCGTCCCCAAAAAGGTGCCGTTCCTGAAGAAGCTGGCGGGGAACCCCGACTCCGGCGTGTCCACGTCCTCGTTCGGTTTGTAGGAACACCGGAGCACCACGTCCTCCCCCTCCATCACCGGGTGGGGGGGGCTGCTCAGGATCACGCCCTGAGCTTAAAGGAGACATATTATACCC